GAACCGGTTGCCGGATCCTGTTGTTGATGCTGAGACAGAGGAACGTTTCAAAAAACTGTTAGATTCTCACCTGAGCGCGCTGGGATTCTGCTGCCTCTAAGGCAGCTACAGTGGTCCTCTGCGGAAACTTCTACCGCAATGAACCACGCCATCTCCGCAATGATCGGGAAGTGAAGGAGCTGACAAAGGATCTTCCTTCTGCTTTCTATCATCCAATGATCCAATGATAAAGCGGACAACCTGTACTTGCGGCCTTTGTCCAGCTGTCACCACAATGCAAACAAGATGAATGCACGACGCGTAGGTCTACGTGGTTGAAGACAAGGGGCAGTTTAACCAACCACAGTATGCATATGAAACGTGCTAAAATTCCTGCCATACGAGGAACGGAAATATCCGCCCGATTTATGGGCATAACCCACAAAGTACACATGTACCAGGGTTTGTCCAGCGCATGTTGTATGCCTCGGAAACTCCATAAACATTAAGAAAATACCATACATTAACGTCATCAGCACCGCGGATTAGCCGCAGTATTCCAGTGCTCAATGTATTATAACCGTCTATATATGATGTAACACAGTTTAACGCAAGCCTCGCCTGATAAGGATTTCAGCTAGATAAAACCCTACGCAAGCAAATATGGAGAGAAGTAAACCGTTACAACAAGTTAAATAACACACCACAGTTAACCCGTTTACCTCCTGCAGCGACTCTCTCACGTGATATACTAAGCCCGCTGACGAACGAATCACACGGACTAATATCGGTTGTGGGGCATTAAAACCGAAACCGGATCAGGATTTTAATAAATACATGGCAATTATGATTCATTAAACATTTTCATTCGAAAAATATGCCCAGTAACATATTACAAGGCAATGAAAAATATAACAAATATGTACAAGATACCTAAATATGAATGATAAACTAAATAACATACCTATATTATCGACATATATAAAAGCAATAGATATATAAAAGCATTATATATATATATATATATATATATATATATATATATTTACATGCATTCCATATATCATAGCAAACGTATATATTATCACAAAAACCAAGTACATCGAAATCTGCTAGATAGAAATAGCGTTCCGCGATTGGATGGATGCATTATATCGCTAGGATTTGCCATTTCCCTTGAAAATATATTACAGAACTTTCCGTATTTTCACGTGTTCCGTATCCATCCCATATACAATTCTTCCCAAATTAATTATCCCATACATTAGAAATTACGAAAGAAAGCATTTGTTGATAAGCCGTGAAATATACCTTCGTACCGTTGCAAACTACATTTACTTTCACCCATGCTGTAAACGAATGCGTGAAATATGGCGTTTCAATCAGCACTTCCCTAGCTGTAGCCGTGTGAAACTATTAAAACACCTATATATCACACCACAAACGGCATTATATATTACCCATTTATTCCGCTGCCTTTTCCATAACCCGCACGAAGCGTTTCAAGTAAAAGAGTATCTTTAATTGCTACGTACATTTTCTGTGCCGTAATCGTTAACATCACCATATATCTCTCGCCTTCGAACACTTTCGGAAGATTTAAATCCATTAAAACATAGCGCAGGTACTACCGCTACCATATATACGTGTCACCTCTTACTATTTCTTCCCTTTCACATTACATCACCATTTCAGCGAGCAGCGACGGCGGCTGTCATAGCAACCAGGATTTCGTATTTCCTGACTACCTCCTTCGACCTTCGGTCGTCCATTTTAACACATACATGCTTTAACGTTTAACATCACATTACGGCATTATTAATCGTCCATTAGTAATTCTCTTTTATTGTTCACATGCGGACGTATGTTCCTACTACTCCTCTCAGTTCCAAGGGTCGGATGTAACTCCGGTACTGTTATTTATTACCCCTTGCATCGACCGTTGTGCAGCACGTTACCAGGACACAGAGAGAACACGTCGAGTTGCCCGCGTGGTTCAAAAAGTGTGTTATTTATCAATCAAAACAAGTGTATAAGGTTAATGTACAAGAATTGGTTGTAATAGGAAAGGAATGTACAATGAAAGATAAGTAAATTTACAAGCGCTACAGTATCATAGCGTTGAGTAGCTAATGCTTGATATTGCAAGGGAAGTAAGCCACTAGCGAGGTGAACGATGCATAATGCCACAGTATCAAACGTAAGCAGGAATCTTACAAGTAAATGAAACGCATTATGTGGAGACGCTCCGGTCGTGTGATCCATTTAGACCCAACTGTTCCAACCAGTAGTAGGTATGGATGGGAAGGTTTGTTTTCTTCTCCAGAACACCATAGCACGTAAAATAATAAATAAACGCCCAATGAGTATGGGATTAATTGCAGAATACACAGACGAGGTGGGTAATATATGCATAGGATAATGGTGCCAAACAGATGGGGATGCTGGTACTTGGAGAAAGCCACTAGCGAGGTGGACGGAACATAACGCCATGGAATCGCATATACGTGGAGCACTTGCAGGATAATAATGCTTTGTTGAGTTGTTCCGGTGGTGATGGGAATTTGAACCCGATTGTTCAAGCCGCCGCAAACTGGGAAAGGGTGCCCAAGGTGGTGATACGGTCTGTCTACCTATGTCTTGGGACCTGCAAGGATTACCTCCAAAGTCGTTACCGAGATACGACGATCAGCGTAAGTTTAGTTAACCCATCTCTGTAGGTCTCGCGAAGGGGCAGGGAAGTAAAGGTCAGAAGGAAGTGAGCAGAGCTGGCGAACCGAAGCCTTAACGCTCGTTACCTCGTTCTCTTTATATACAGGCTATGGTGTCAGGTGTATGCGTGCGCCTTCTTAGATTTAACTAGCGAAAGAAATATCTTTATACAAAAACTAGATATCAGAATATGTGGAACTGTTCAGCAACGGTAAGACGCGATACGCCGGGATTGAGGTGATAAAAGAGCAACGGTCTCATGGGACGTCCATTACCTGATAGGAAGGATGCCGCAGCTGTAGCTGTGATGTGGTTGCAGAACAAGATAGGTTGGGAAACAGCGGTTTTTGGAATGAAGTGGACGAACGACGCTTCAAAATGGAGTAAATGAACTACATGAAGTTGGAGTACTACTGTATCCCTCATAGGTCAATTGGTCGCAGATGGCAGTAAGGGTAAGCGCCGGTTTAGCGGAGGATACCCGTGGTCCAGCGACAAAGAGATAAAGATTACGGAACAGTCAGTTAAGACGAGGGGCGTTGGCGATCTAACGAACTACCGTAGTTGCTACGAAGATATTTTCGGAGCAAGCAATCCTATGAACCTACACTTAGGAAAATAACGGCGCTTCGATTAAACAATTCGACGGTGCAGGTGCCTTGCCACAAGTATGTCAGTTGGACGCAGAGGGCTGTGATGTTACAGCCTAATTAGCTGTGTGGCAAACTCCGCGCGTGATTGAGAGATTAAGGGAACGCAAACTGAAGACACTATGCATCCTAGT